TTGTCACCTTTTGTATATCCTTTCTTAACATACTGTAATGTTGCCTGGTCCTCCACCTACTGTTCCAGCCTAAACTGTATTTACCTTTTGCAAAAGCGTCTAGTGCGGCTCATAACAAAAGCTCACTATCTAGCAAATACCGCCCCTTTGTTTAGCCGGCTTGAAGTCCTTGACATATTTAGTATTAATTTATTTTCTGTCACTACTTTTATGTATTGTTATCACCATAATCTTTTGCCTAGTAGCTTTCGTGACTTGTTCTTAAGTAGTAATCTGAAGTCCATCAATACCAAAATTCGACTGGCCTCTCAGTATAGACCTCATTTTTGTAGATCAAATATAAAGCAATTCAGCATCCTTTACCGAGGACCTAAAATCTGGAATTCGTTGCCTGTTTCACTAATTAGCTCTCCTTCTATATTTGTTGTTACAAAAAATTTTAAGAATTATCTCACTGATAGCCGATCTGTCGCTTAATTTTCTGATCTTGCTCACTCTGCACTCAGCCATGAATTTAGTTCTCTAGGTAGTTGAAGGAAGCCTATTAATATAAGCTTCAAGCTTCGTTAGACTTCCTTGTCACATTAATTTTATAATTTAATTAACACCTTTTGTTTATGTTGCATAAGGTTTTGTGAGTGACTAAATAAATAAATAGTTAAAAACAAACAAAAGCATTTTTTAAAGTCATCCGGAGGTTCTTCCTTGTTTTGAACTAAACTACAAATTCTTGGAGAGGTATAAAAAACCCCTTTCGCTAGCGACAATGAGAAAACAAGAAAATCCTGTCAACACAGCCCAGAAAATAACAAGCCAAATTCAAACAAACAAAACGGAGAAGCGACAATGGAGGAAGTGCCAGGGTCAATTGTCACATATACAGAAGAAAAAAATAAATACCTTCAAAGATCACATTGTCCCTGAAAACACGAAAAAGAGTACGCCACTTGCATTCATCCTGAGTCGTGGTACTTAGAAAAGTACAAAACAGAGCTGAACTTGAACAGCATTTTTAAAACATTTCAAGGTACTTACCTTATATCAATCGTAACGTTAAACTTTCAGTGCTTTGCCTTGGACACTTCATTTCTTTCAGTTTTGCTACCGAAGAGGTAAAAGGTGTAAATTATTTTCCTTCGCGAGCAAATGACCAATTTGAAAAAGGATTATAGATAACCGGCTTGTAAATTCAGTGAAATACCTCTATTTATCCTTACAATTAGTGTGAAGCTTGTTCATGTGTAAAAAAGTTTGAAAACAAATGTAAAAACAAGCACAAGGTACAAAAAAAGTTGTCAAAGGTTCAAACGTGTATGACTGACCTTGCTTCCTATTCGCTAATACAATGATAGGTTTGACATTTGACTTTGAAATGGCTTTCTGGGGCGCGTGCTCAGGATAAAAACAAACAATATTATTGGTGTTTTCTTTTTTTTTCTGATTTTTATTTGATTATGCGATTCAAGGAAAATCCATTACCTGACACGTGAATTCCACGTTAAATTGCACTTGAAAACCGATATCGGTTTTCGTGTGCAATTTAACGGAATTCCTCGTCAGGTAATGAATTTTCCTATAAAACTTACTAATATACGTGGAAAAATTTCTTGAATCAGATTGGCTTAGAGCAGTGCAGTTTTTAGTAAACACAGTACAAAAACAAGGAAACATAATGCAAAAATAAGGAAATAAAGTGCGAATTTCTCAGAGAATGAAAACCTGTGATTGGCTAATAAACAATCAGTGTTCTCCAGAAGCGCGGGCAACTGGCAGTTTCACTGGGAACTCTTTTCCAAAGTGCCAGCTACTCTTATGAGTCAAAACATAAAAAAAAAATGTCTGTAACTTTTATCTTCAATTTTTCGTAAGTTCCATTTTTTTCCGCGAAGGATAAAACGGCACCCAAAGCAAATCGTGTTAATTCATTTCTTAGAATACTAGAACATGCAATTTTATCGGGAAAATAACAAACAAACAAAAAAGCCACAAGAGCTTGTTTGAAAGTTTATCGAAAAACACATGAAAATGCATGGAACTAAAGTGCCTTGAACAGCTACAAAAGAAGACAGGTGTTGTTTATTCATGGTTGCGAAGCCACTCGCTGAGGCACTTGCCGATAGATAGCTGCGGCTTGTTTATCTGACATGAAGAATATAAATCACAAGCAACTAGAATACACGCTATGCAGCCATTCACTACAGCAATCGAGGCGTCAGTAAAGCTTCTTTTCTTGTTCAGCAAAACCAGCTTGTGGCTTCAAACAACGTCATAACAAGCGACCAAGGTAATAGTTTTTCTCCGTTGTTCTTACTTTTGTAACTGCTCCAAAAGTCCAAATTCACAGTAATTTTGATGGCTGTTAAGAATTATTTTTCTTCACATTATCTGCCAGGTTTTTTTAGCTGTCCCGCTGTGTAAAATCCTAGAATCTCGATGAGTTTTTAAAAGTGTTCATCTTTACAATGTTTTGATTTTTTATTCATCCAGTCCAGGAGAGTCGGTTCATGCGTTGACAGTTCTGATAGACATGTGACATGTGAATAGCGGAACTCCCTTGTCTTTTCTGGTTTGTTCTAACAAGATTCAAAGGGATTTTGTGGGCGTTTTTAATAAAATAATTATTCCACTTGCGCTTGTTGGATGAGATGATTATTGCCAACTCGGCGCTATGCGTCTCGTTGGCTATTTTCCATCTCATATCCAACGTGCCCTCGTGGAATAATTGTTAATTATAAAATAACTAAGATAGTACGTGCATTCTGATTGGTTAAAACCAATAGTTTATTGTGCCGGTAAAATCATAGAAAACTGAAACATGCTTTTAAAGTTATTTTATAAAAGTAAAAGACCACATTTTCTAAAGGTTTGCTGGTGTGATAACCCACTTGGGATGTTGGGAGAAGACTGGAAAAGCTTGTAAACCACCAGCTTAACTTATCAGATCTCTGGGCCTCATGCCCCCAAACCCCCCTTAGATACGGTACTCTCGCTTTACCAGCACTTGGTGTCAGGCACCAGTTACTTTACATTGGGAGCTGGCTGCTCTAAAACTTCTGGAGAACACTGAACAATGGAATATATAAGAACCAATGAGCCCCAGGTGTCACAATCTGCTTGCTTATCTTCTTAGCCATGGAAGAACATGAAAGTCAGGTCCTCCCGGTTGAATGTAGCAGAAAATGCTCTCTGCTTGGTGAACAAGAGCAAAGTCAATCAGCAGGTACTGATATAGTTCATGGTAGATGGTGGTTATTATAAAACTTAATAATATACATGGAAAAATTTCTTGAATGAGATTGGCTTAGAGCAGTGCAGTTTTTAGTAAACACAGTAAAAAAAGTAAGGAAACATAATGCAAAAATAAGAATAAAAAATAAAGTGCAAATTTCTCAGAGAATGAAAACCTGTGAACAATCAGTGTTCTCCAGAAGCGCAGGCGACTGGTGGTTTCGCTGGCTACTCTTATGACTCAAAACAGTAAAAAAAACTGTCTGTACCTTTTATCTTGAATTTTTCAGAGGGTCCTAAAAGAAACAAAAACAATAGCTTGTCGTACAAAAAGCTCTTTGGTGTATGACAATTTGCCTTTTGCTAATGGTATTATCGATATATTTACTGAATGACTTTTGATGAGACATTGCCAGATAATATTTTTTAATTATAAAATAACTAAGATAGTACATGCATTCTGATTGGTTAATAACCAATAGTTTATTGTGCTGGTAATCTCATAGTAAACTGAAACATGCTTTGAAGTTATTTTATAAAAGTAAAAGACCACATTTTCTATGGATTTACCAGCATGATAACTCACTTGGTTCTTTGGAGAACTCTGGAAAAGCTTGTAAATAACGAGCAAAACTTCTCAGATCTCTGGGCTTAATGCCCCCAAACCCCTCCCTTAGATACAGTACTCTCGCTTTATCAGTGCTTGGTGTCAGGCACCAGTTTCTTTGCTTTGGGAGCTGGCTACTCTAAAACTTCTGGATAATGTATCGGTCAAATCGAAGCTTCAACATGCCCCCCCCGGGCAACCCCCGGGGCATTTGACTTTTTTGAAAATTATTGTTCAAATTCCCCTCTACCCGGGCCCAAAATGCCGTTCAAATGCCCCACACTAGGGTCCATTCAGGTGATCAAATGCCCCCATCCTGGGGACATTTCACAGGCACAAAAATGACAGAAGGACGGCGGAAACGCCTTCAGTTGTCGAACAAAATCTTTATAAATATAACAAAAACACTGTTAGCGTATTTACTACGAACAAAAAACTCGTGCAAAGCGGCAGAAATCGCTGCTACAAGGTCACTGAATGCTCAGCTTTTCTTCATCATGCAACATCCAAAGGGTTCTATAAAAAAAGATCCCACCTATTGAGATTACTACATCATGACCATTTCACTGACATGCATCATCGCTCACCGTATAAATTAACATACTTGCAGTAGGTCAAAGTAGTTGACCTGAGCTTTTTATTTTATTCTATTTTATGTTGTAGTATTGAATCGCTGGCATAGGTATTGTATTTCATTGTAAACACAACAATAACATACATTCACACATTCAAAGCCTGAATCCAGTATTAAAAATTTTAAAATTTAAATACTTCAAAAACGGCACAAAGCTTGTTTAAGCCCTTTCCTTGTAACCAATTGGCCACAAAGGCACAATCTTTTCCTCGAAAATCCTCTAACACCGCGTCCCCAATGATAGCTCGTCACGCCAAAGATTTTACATGAAATCGAGGGTGCAGTTCAAATTCCCCACCCCTAAAGCCTGGGGATCAAATTCCCCACCCCCTGGAAGACTCTGATAATCAAATTTCCTCCTCCCCGGGACGGCAAAGGTGTCAAATGGCCGGGGTATGCCCGGGGGGGGCATGTTGAAGCATCGATTTGACCGATACATAACACTGAACAATAGAAATATATAAGAACCAATCAGCCTCAGGTGTCACAATCTGCTTGCCCAACTTATTAAGATTATATCTTATCTTCTTAGCCATAGAAGAACATGAAAGTGAAGTCCTCCAACTTGAATGTAGCATGGAAAGCTCTCTGCCAGGTGAACAAGAGCAAAGTCATTCAGCAGGTACTGATATACCGGTAGTTGTTTATGGTAGATGGTATTTTATTATGAAAGTTAATAATATACATGAAAAAATTTCTCTGTGAATTTGATTGGCGTAGAGCAGTGTACTTTTTAGTAAACACAATGCAAAAACAAGGAAACATAATGCAAAAAGAAAGAAATATAATGCAAATTTATCAGAGAATGAAAAACTGTGATTGGGCCAATAAACAATAGAAATTTATCAGAACTAATTAAGTGCCACAGTTTGCTGGTGGGAAGCATGTATACTTTTAAAACTTCTCCCTTTTTGGTGTAATTATTTATGCTCTGTTGTCTTACCTAAGTAATCTTTCCTTTTTCTTGTAACACTTTTTTTATCAATATTTTATTTTATGAATTTACCTGATTATTTTTATTTATTTATTCATTGTGGGTTGTTTTTGTTTTCATTTTTGTAACCAAGATTTTGAAATTAATAAAGGTGTGGGTTGGCGTGTGTGTGTAACAAATAAGAATGTTAAAACTTTCATATATATATTTTTTACATGGACTCAAAAGAGCAGCTATATAATCAGTGATTTTGTTACCTCTGCATTCTATCTATGTTCCTTACACATAAAAATCGCCAAAGACATAAAATAATTCATGGATATATCGATCTGAACGTGTGTATTTGTAGAAATATCCCGTACGTGTAATTTCTGTGGCAGTTATGGTTGTTGTTTAGTGATGCATATTTGTTTTAGCCTTTGTTGACTTCTGCTTTAAAATAGAAGAACTATATTTTAATTTCAGTATACTATAATACAGAGTTTTGGAGTGTGTCTTCAGATTAACTGTCTGTGGCTGGTACATAAAGGCCCAAACATTTTCCATTTTGGACTCATTTTTTTTAACTGGGACTCATTGGTTCTGGACTGGGACTCATGATTTCTCACAAGATGAGTCCCAGAATTCATCATATTTATTTGTAACAAAAACACTGTATAATTCATTGATTAGACCTTTTGTCATGTAATTCAAGTGTTGTTGTTGTGGTAAACATGACAAGTCATCATGTCTGTACTTAATTCTCCATGACTGGATTGTAGTATTTTTGTTCTGTTTGTATTTGATCGTGCATTATTATTATGGGAAAACTTACCTTAGGGTTGCATTACTTTGACTAGGACAAAGTTAAAATACATTGAATTCTCATAGAGATAATTATTTTTTTGGATTATAATAATGAGTTCATTGGTTGGGTCACTCCCATTATATTTGATGACTGGTTTATGAAATATCAGCACTTAGAAAATGATTGTCAAGGTTGTTGTATTATCCGAAGTTTCAAAAGTAGAAATATTGTGTATTTTCTATTTGAAATCAGGTTTTGAGAACACTTCCACAGATACAGCTTTATAATAGTAATTCTTGTACAGTTATACAAGCATGCAGTACTAGGGTGCGAAGAAAAGGAGGTCAGTTTTGTGCTTGTCCTTCGGGAAGGCTGTAGCTTGCATCTGTTAGCCCAAGAATCACAACTCTATTATCCCTCAGGCATGATAAAAAATAGAATCCACTAGCCCCATAGCATATATGAATTGTGTAGTTGGTTAATACAAATAATTCATTTACTAGGAGAAGAGTTGGAACAACACACTCCTGCAGTAGAAAATGGCCCAATTGAGGGAGCAAGCAATGTGCAGGAAACACAGCAACCTCTTCCAGAAGTAAATAATAGTAGCCACTTAGAAGATGACCGCCTAATTGCTAGAGCAAGGGCAGTTGGTGTGGACTATGAGTTTCCAAAGCCTGGTGAAGTGGAAACGGAGGATGACAGAAGAAAAGATTTTATTTACTTGAATCCAGTCCATTCCTTTTTCTCTCCAACAACAATGATATATTAAGAAACATTGTTATTATAGCTGGAAATTTCTTTCCAACCATGTTCACACTCATTGGTTATTTCAATGTCACCTGACATCTAACAATGAAACTTTTTGGTGCCAATCGTCTCTAAGCAGGCAACATCGCAAAAATCATTCACATCAGAGGGTAACAGTGCACTATTACCCGTGAATGACCAACAACTGACCTTCCAAGGAGGTTTAATGAATTTCCATGCAGCTATAAATTTTTTAAAATATTAACATCACAAATCACTTAAAGACTTGGCCCATGGGAAACAGTTAATTTTGTTTTCCAAGAATCTAAATATTTCCCAGCACCATTCTCATTAGTTACTTCGAGGTCACATGACATCTAACTGTTTCCCACCACAATCTCTGACGAATTGCCAGGCTAATTGACCAGCTGCTGTGGAAATTGGAGAATGACTATATGAATGGTTAGGTACGTTAGGTACAGTGCCAAAGTTGCATTGATAACTGTGGTGATCTTCCCTGAATTTATTTCTTCATTCTGCATTGCCAGTATATGAAATTAATGTATTTATTATACCATATATAACTTTGTTGTGTGAATTCACCTTGGATAAGTTAATCTTTTCTTGTGCTGTTTTAAAGTTATAGAGTGTTAGTTTTAGTTTCAACTTTTAAGACCTTTTTCTTTCCTGCTCTTTAAACCTTATCTAACTACGTGTTACTTTTTTCGTAGTTTTCTTTGACTCCTCTTCTTCCTTTGTCGGGAGTGGGTTGCGGCTACACGTAGGCTAGATTACATCCCGATACCGACTGGGGGGTATCAGTATTTGCAACGAGGTTATATCGTATTGTGTACCAGTGTGAATAAAACGATCTTCATCATCATCACTATTATCGTTATTATTATTGTAATGAAATCGGGAGCTCCGCTTTTAGGCTTGGCTAAATCTATATATTATTGATTATTCAAGGTTAAAACCATGCCGACCAGATACAGTTTTTCTAGTCAAAGTGCTCTGATTCTCTCGAAAGGTTTAGGAGGAAGAAGTGTTGTAGTATAAAACATATGAAACTAAGCAAGCAGCCTTCGTTGCTAGTGAAAACAATTCGTTGTTATGCAAACCAATTCGTTGTTATGCAAACCCTCGACTTCGTATAGGGTTTGCATAACTATCTCGAATTCTCCCAACCCCTCTCGCGTTTATATCAGGCTGTGCAAACGCGGAAAACGTTTTCTATTGCTTAAATGGTAACCGTAATTCATTTAAACTATTGATAAAGTCTAGCACCTTTACTATTGATCAAGAGTACGATTTTGAAGACACGTTTGTGCGTACACCATTATAGGAAAAAATGTAAAATATACTATGTCAAGCCCAAATAAAGAGAGAGGGAAAACAATTATTCTCTTTGGTCATTTTATATTTGTGGATTAAGAAAATAGCAGGAGGGATTCTTTGGGTCGCTTGTGTTGCTAGCTTTTCATATAATAAGTTGATTATTCAAAGGGTTAAAGACATCGCTGCCAGATACATTATTTCTTTTTCATACTGCTCAGTCTTTCAACAGATTCAGGAGGACGATGGCTACATTCGATTCGTTTAGGGTCTTTGCAGTGTGTTTCTGAAGATCACTGCGGACGTCGTCTTCCGTTAACCCAGGTACCATTATATTGCATTGATTTTCCTGAGACAAAGAGGCCCTTTGTAGAGCTGGCTCACATCCTTGAATACCACTTACAATAGCAAGATGGAGCGCCAAAAAATCGTTCATTCACATCACAAAGCTTTGAGTGCGATCGATCGCGCGAAGCCTTCCTAGGGTAATTCAAAGGCAAAGCAGCGTCAAATAGGCGTTTGCGCCTTTTCTTAGCAAATGTCATTTTTTCCTTTTTGTTTAATATTTTTATCCCCTATATTTTCCTATTTTGGTTTTGGTTTTTATGAATTTTCGATTTTTTCCGGGGACGCACGTGCGTATTGCCGAACAGGAAGCTACACCCCCGAGCCATATAAGCCTTAAACCGTGCCTATCCTTTGACCCTTACATTTGCGTTCTTTGTAGTCAAGGTAGCAACGCAAAACGACAGATCAAATTGCAAGACGACTTGTTTCCCTTTCTTGCTAGAGTCGCGCGGTTGGCTGAGGAAAACTGCGAACAAAAACGACAACACTATTTTCTTACTTTTATATATAAATATTCAATTGATAACTTTATTTTATTTTACTTGAGATAAAATTCCACAGCAATGTCACCGTCTTTTATTGGCGAATATCGCCATGCTTTTAAAGCAATGACCGTGCTGCAGCTTTCACTTGTAATTTCTATTTCTTTCAGTTCTAGTTATAGACCCCGTGCACAATAATGCGTTTTCAGTTTGAAATATAGGTTTATATTTTTGCGCGTTTTGGCCTTGCGTTCACACTGAAGCGATCAAACGGAGGTTTAGGGAAACGCTATTGAAAGAGGAGTCTTTTAGATGACGTCAGAGTTTGTGACACCTTTAAGGGCGGGATAGACGAACGCTTTGTATGCAGGTTAGCCTGCGAGCAAGCTCTCCCAGGGGTGCAGGGGTGCAGGGGTGCGGAAGGGAAAAAGGGAAGATCTGATTGGTGAGATTTTGACAGCTCAACACCAGAGGGGCCATAGGGGGTTCTTTTGAGACGCAGGGCAAGTCCCCCTTCTCCTTTTCCCTTCTCCACCGCCGCACCCCCGGGAGAGCTTTCTCGCAGGCTATATGCAGGTCCAAGAATGCCCTAAAACGCTGACGTTAGAGCTTGTGACACCTTTACGGGCGGGATAGACGAATGCTTTGTACGAAGGTCCAAGAATGCCCTAAAAGGCAAGCATAGACACAGAACTCTTGATGCGTTTTTGCCAGCAAAAGTTAAGGAAAGCAAAGGTTTTTTCGAACAGAACTGGCGTGGAGGAGCCCTTAGACTAAGTATGCTGTTTTACTATAAAACTTACGAAAAAAATATCGATCTTCAGTTTTGTTTTTATTTTTTCGCATGGGCGCGTGCCTACATGTCGACCCGGCATGCATGCGTTACAGGAGAAGAATAAGCGACATAAGCCCGGGCTTGGTCGTTATGTTCTCTAATATACATATACATTAGCTGTGCTACGCCTGTTGCTGAAGAAACAACGCCCGTATGAAATTCTCTCAATATAAACACAGGAAACCCAGTTCCACCTTAAAAAATATGAGAGGGTAAATTGAGTAAGAGACGTGTCAAGCAGCAGAATGTATCAGTCATAGGTCTATTCAAGTTAGCTGGACGGCATAAGAAAATGCATGACGTTTTCGTAGACCACGAATGTCAGAGCACAACCAAAATTAACTCTGCAAAATATAAAAAACAGACAAACTCAATCACAAACAACGCTTGTCACGTGTCTTTTACTTTGTTTGTTTGTGTTTTATGTGCCTTTCCTATACGTTTTGCCTAGCTGTTCGTTTAAACTGTATTAAGCGAGTTGTTTTCACGAAAGCCCCGATCTTCCCTCCATACAGTACAAACATTGTAATCGTCATCTTTAACAAGTGGCTACCTTTATTAAGCGACCTTGGCCACCCCTTTGCAGCCCATGGTTTGTCTTTCTTCTTACTTTTACCCGTGTTAACTAGCGGCCACCCTAACTGTAAGGGAATGAAGGAATAAAATATTTCGATGTGAGCGTCAGGGCTCACAAACACTGTTTGTCTGGTTGGTCAACAGGATAACGGATAGTGTTGTATGATAACGGTAAGTTCAATTCCCCGTTACGGTTACAAGCTAGCAACTTTGTTGAAAGAAGAGAAAGTGAAAGATCAATACAGATCAGGGTCGCCCTGGTATAGTTCGCCTGAAAGGACGTTGATTGCTTTATTTTTTGATTGAATGAAGGATTGAATGAAGTGTTCTTCTATAAAGACTATCAATTAGTTGCGTTTCGACGGCCACACCCAGTGGGTAATTTCCATGATCTTTTATTGCACGAGCGGCCACCTTCATTAGGCGGCAAGTCTCTTCAGTACCGGGCGAGGCTGACCATTATAAACAGGTCAAACTACACTTATAATTTTCTATTATCATTTAAACTTTGCCACTGATATTAGTATTATAAAGAAAATAAAGGGAGATGTAAAGAATCAACCGTACGTATTTTTTGTGCGTTGGTTGGTTTTTCTGTTTCTCGAATGAGCCTTATTTCAGCCAAATAAAGTAGTTGGTGTTCGGCATGCGGGAGGCCCGGGTTTAAATCCCGGTCGGTCACCATCAATAAGGGTTCTTTATCAAAGATCAGAGAAAATGTCATTCTGATGTCTAAGATCTTGTCGGAAAGGGGGCAATAACAATACCGCGCAATTGATTATAGTTACTTATTTTAGATATTTGCGCGTTATAAATTCTTAAATTATTATGATCGATTATTACTGGCTTTGTTTTCTTCGTCCTTCCTATCATTAATTTTTCGTTTTGAGCCAATTTTCGTCCGGCCAAAACGAATTTTCTCAATGTCAGTTCGTCTCATTGCGCGAAATTTTGCCGACAATAGAACAATAAATGGACCGAAATTTACCTATATTCCCTCTCGAAATTCGCGAATTTTGACGAATTTCGTTGAAGTTTGCTATCATCACTTTCGCACAGCGTTCTGCCACTATTGTTGAAAGAGAAAAGGAAATGTTTTTTACGTAGTTGTGTTAGGAACTGCATCGAACTTTCACGTGTGAAGACCGAACTGTTAAAGAAGTCCTTTTGTCCATGACATTTACATTACAGTTCTGGCCCCGGTTGTTCAAATGTTTTATGGCGCAATAAACCGGATAAATGGTTATCCAATGGATAAGTATTATGGATACCAACTACGCTGTCCAATGGATTGAGATTTATCCAGTGGATAGGGTTATCTACCTTTTGAATAACTAGGGCCTGCAAATTACTCTCTGTCATCCAGACAAATTTTAAATCTGGGAGCTCTTTTGTTGGGGATCTCACCTGAGAACATTAGGAACCAATCCGTTAAAAAATCCCCTC